AATGGAAAAGAAAATGGAGACTGCTATAGTGTTTATAGGGGTTATAGGGAGACTATAGGGGTTTAGGGGTACCTATTGAGGAATAAGTATACTACAAGTGTAGAGAAGGGGTCACATGGTATTGGAGGACAATACACGGCAATTGAATTTCAAATGGGAAGAGTGTCATCAGACCCTTGGGTCTACGTCAGGCGGCCAGTCTGGGTAGGATGTACTTGTAAAAGGGGAGTCATGCAAAACCGCACCCAAGCCTCCCTCAGCTGTCTCTAGACGCGGCTGATCACCCTCGGCCACAAAAAAGTGCCAAAGGTTCACGCTTCACACTGTCTAGGTTGGCCCCTATAACCCATTGAAAAATATTAGTATATAGGGTCCCTTCTTAAAGCCATTAGGGAAAATATTAAATATCCCAGGGACCTACCCAGCTGTGCAAGTACTTTGCAACAGCTGCAGGCTCTGCACGGCACGCTGTCTGAGATGCAGGCTGGCAGGCACAGGATTTCTCAAGTTCGGGCGGTGTCACACCTGAATGCAGCTTTTCAACTGTCTGCCCTGGGAGCGCAGGAGTTCATTCAATGGTTGTGCCACTTTATAACTCACCTGGAAACTGCCCGGCTGAGTCTTGCGCAGTCCTCTTTCAGTTTCGGGTCCGAGTGGCCCGCCTTCGTGCTTCTGAACTAAAAACTCAGTTGTCATTCCAGCAGGGCAATGCCACAGCACAACATGAAACCATGTCACTCCATTCTGCCAGTGTGGCGATTCTCACTGCCTCCGTAAGACCTGCAAGCTCCTCCAAGCGCATCGCCAGCTGGTGAGAAGCCACCTTGCAAAGCACTGCACAGATGTAACACGATAAGCTCTCAGCCAGACAAACAGAGCTCAGCAGCACTAGGCATCCGTACCTCCAGACCGTTTATCCTGCCACGCACTTGAGGAAGGAGCACATGAAGGATGGAAAACTGATGGCCTTGAGGCGGCTTGCCTATGTAAAAACATTGTAAAACTACACTTGCAACGCTGCTAGGAGTGCAGGCACGAATCAGCACCCCGTCCTTGAGTTCATCTGCCGCATCTCTGTGCGAACATCCCGTGACAGACCGTCAAGGCGATCTAAAACCTGTTGGCAGCCGAATACGTGCACTGGCATGTTCCCTAAACCCTCAACACCCCACCCTAAACCCTAGAGTCCTGGAGCAGCTCCCACCCTCATCCATGCTCATGCTACCGGCTGGCTACAGCGAGAATGCCCACAGGCAGCCCTCACATACAAGAAGATTCCCCTCCCCCTAGGTTGGCCCTTGAAAACCTTTGAAAAATATTAGTATATAGGGTCCCTTATTAAAGCTATTAGGGAAAATATTAAATATCCCAGGGGCCTACCCAGTTCCCCTCCCCGCCTGGGCAATTCCGCCCCCACCCTCGGAGAAGCTGGGCTGCTGCTTCGGAGTCTGATCGGGCAGAGTGAGCTCAACGTCAACTGAGGATGTGTGCGAGTCACATGAAAAACAAACAGCTTACTGTATGATATTGTAGCAAACCGCACTATAATGTAGTAGACTATAGTATACCATAATCTAGTATACTATAGTATACCATAATCTAGTATACTATAGTATACCATAGTATGCTACAGGCCGCATCCTTCGGCGAGATGGTGCCCACACTGATGACGGACTCCACAATGCTTGGGAAGCCTTCCACTCCTTGGGCGCGGGACTGCCAACTGCAATATACTAGAACATACTAGAACATGCCATATTATACTATAATATACTACAAGATAGCACTACAATATACAATAACATTTTACAAGACAATCACATCATATACTACTGTGTACTACGAAAAGACTATGAGGCTGATTGGACGAGGCTGAGGGTGTTGCGCACCTCTTCGCGCGAACCTGCGGGTTGGTGCGAGACATAATAGTAATAATTAGAGCCAATAACAATAGCAGTAATTATGATTTAGGGTTTAGGGGATTTGTTTTTTTTTTTTACACGCCTCTTTTATCCGGTGTGCTGGCAAAAGCTCTGTCCGAGCAGGCGAAAACCTAACCCTCTTCGCTACCCTTTCTCGGCGACCACAAAAAGTTGCTGGGCTTCAAAGGCCTCTAAAAGGTAGTTTCCCAAAATAGGGGGACCCCAATATAGACCCAAATATACTATAGTCCTTAGTATGGGGACCCCCAAAATGGTACCCCTAATTTTGGGAAACCCCCAAAACCTGAGCCCCAAACTCTTCGAAGACCGTACGCGTAGGGCAGACCACATACCGTAGGCCCTTACGCCGACATTTCCCTCAAGAAAGTTCACCACATCTCTCAGGCTTACAACCCTGTTGTTCGACATCATCACCACTCTACACCCTAAACCCTTAAACCCTAAACTCTTATACCCTTAAACCCTCAAACCCTTAACTCTTCTACCCTAAACTCTTATACCCCTAAACCCTCAAACCCTTGCTCACGCTCAGAGGTGCTCGTGGTACCACTCAGGTTAGGGTTTAGGGTTTAGGGATTAGGGTTTAGGGTAAATTGACCAGGAAGGGGCAGGACCCGAAGCCGTCGACGTAGTCACATCTCCCCCATCTTCGTCCCCAAGCAGCACCAGTTTGGGGTTTAGGATCTAGTCATGTACTGATAGCAATAGAAATCAAGGAGAGCGAGAAAATAGGCATTATATGCCCTCATTCCCTACTAACCTCAACATATACCCTGTCATAACATTGTAGTTTGTTCTTTTCAATTATTCTTTTTCAATCCGGACTTCAGCGACTGCCGGAATGCAGCTGCACTCACCCCGAAAACTCGTGCTCCAGAGCTCCCGGAAAGACCACTTAACGATCTCTCCACGCAGCGGGAAAAGTAGACCATGTGCATTTGACAGCGATGCCAGGCTGTACGCATGACATTCGGGGCAAGGGGCAAAATATATCTTGAACAAGCTCATCCAGCAGAAAATCAATGTTGATGCATTGCTTTCACATAAGCAGCAACTGCACGGATTCCTCCCACTCCCCTAGACGCATGTACATAGCCCCATGACTGGTATCAAGCCAGCATGCAGATGGCGTCCCACATCCAGGGTACAACAACAGCCTGATACCAGGGGGTGACATCTGCAATCTGAAGGGGCTGTCTCACACTTTCCCAGATACACTCAGAAAGGAAAGCCAAAGGCGTGACATGAAACATGGCCACATGCTCTGCCCTAGCATTCCATGCCAGCTTATTCATGGCACATTCGGCCATATGGTATGGAGGCGCTCGCAGAAACCATGCCCAACTGCTTGCAAGCGTTAAGTAGGAAGCTATGATGCTGTGCCAGGGCGCCCAAACTGATTGCACCATAACCGAGGGATTGGCATTATCCTAAACCCCAAACCCTCAACCCTGAAAAGTAGTTTCCATTTCCTTTTCCATCATCCCAATATAACCCCAATATATACCCTATATAATCCTCACACAAATCCCTATAATGATTACTATAATCCCTACAGTTTCCATTTCCTTTTCCATTATCCCCGTATAACCCCAAAGAGAAATTCTTATCTCAGCCTCCACTCATCCGCGCCGCCATGCGGCCCAGCCTGAGCTAGGGGTTTAGGGTTCAGGGTTTAGGGCTCAGGGCAATTAGGGAATAAGGCAATATATGTATGTATAATGTAAGGGAATATATAGGGTTTAGGGTTTACGGGCAGGGTTCTTAGTAGGGAATGAGGGAATATTTCGGTGTTTTACAGGGAGAATGGGCAAGAACATGAAAATTGCTATATTTCAGTAGGGTATATATTGGGGTTATGGGGTTATGAGGGAATAAGGGAATATCATCCCTATATAACCCCTATATGATATATTCCCTAGTTCCCTACTAAGAACCAATAAGTGAATTTCTGCATGCTTGGGCCATTTCTGGTTGGAGTTAGGCGCTTGGCCTTTCGAAAGATGGCCCTGTGCACTGCGGGCGTTCAGGCTAAAAATATACCTTAGCATATTATAATTCACTATCGTCTACTACAAGATCATTATACTAATCTATTATATTGTTTTACAATTTAATACAATATACTGTAACAAGACAGGCGGTTCTGAGTTTGAAGCGGCGTGGGGCTTCGGCTGCCCTGACGTGCCCGCGAGAGGACCGTGCCTGCAGATCAACTGAGGCCAACGTTATGGGGGTTATATAGGGGATTACCTAGGGGATGATTATAGGGGAGTGTTATAGGGGATTATTTCAGGGGATTGTGCAAGGGATATTTTCGTGGCTTACATAAGGGATTATATAGGGGAGTGCTATAGAGGGTCATTTTGGGGGATACTAGATCATATAATCCCCTTTGTAATCCCAGTTTCCATTTCATTTTCAATTTTCTTTTCCCCATGGTTATAGGGGTTATAACCCTAAACCCTAAACCCTCAAGGGGGAATATTAGGAGTTTAGGCCCATGTCGGCCGAGCATCGACAGGATCCTTATGCCCTTGTCATATGGGGATAATGGAAAAGAAAATGGAAAGTAGTACAGTAGATTAAGGTACATATAGGGTTCTTTTGGGATAATATTGGGATAATGGAAAAGAAAAGGGAAACTACTACAGTATATTAGGGTATGTATAGGGCTCTATTGGGATAATATTGGGATAATGGAAGAACCTACTTGTACAAGTTAAGTCTCGCGTTCCCTCACGGCCCTAATACGCCTGAGTCCTAGTGAGCTGGCTACAGTATTACAGAATGGCTCAGGGCAGTTATGCAAATGCTTGCTCCCTTGCCTGGCTACTCGGCTATGCCACAGAGCACAGAAGAATGAGAGAACAACACGCAAGTTGCACAACACTGCTTTTTGCCGACAGAGACTGGGCATCGGGCCCATTCGGTGCCTGATCAAGTACACAATCACCAAATTTGTAAGTGTGCCCGGCGCATCATCAGAATCCAGTCAGAAACCACACTACTGCAGAGGCCTGTCAGGAATCCACATTCAGCATGACAAGAACATGCCTCTTCGACCCTGTTGAGATGTCCATGAGGTCCTGATCAACCTCCACTCATCTTGCACTTTCACTGTCGGATGCTTGCTCCCATGCATGCAGATCATGCTGGAAAAAGTCATGCGTGGCTCGCTGAAGCGAGCGAAATGCTTCTGGACTGCGTTCTTTGCGCAGACCCGCCTCATGCGAAAACTGGATCAACAGATTCCTGGAGCGCCATGTCAACATGCAGGCTTCACTGTCTGTAATCTGTACTCCATCTCTTGAAATGTCCACTAATGGTGCATGTGTAACATGTGTACACATACATATATATATATGCTCAAATAATGTACATATCTGTATATATATATATACATAAATTCACTCCCTCGTGCTTTATTATCACTCAGAAGAGCCCAGTCCAGATCTGCTCAACTCGCTTCCGGATCATGAAGCACTGCTTCGCCTGGGCGGGACCTGGAACAAGATCCTTAAGGTTCATATTCCTACTTAAGTAGATAGAATATGGGGTAGCATATTGGGGTTATATAGGGATAATGGAAAAGACAATGGAAAGTACTATAACAGTTTATATAAGGTTTGGGGTATAGGGCCCGTTAAGTAGATAGAATATGGGGTGTATGGGGACCTCATTTTGATATTGGTCAATTCCATATTCTATCTACTTTAAGGGGGACTACAAACCCTTAGCCCCAAACCCTAAAGAAGCCTGAACCCTAAATAGTAGTTTCTATTTTCTTCTCCATTACCCCAACATAACCCATATTCTGTCTACTTAAGGCGGACTATAAACCCAATATATAACCTATTAGAATATACTAGTTTTCATTTTAATTTCCATTATCCCAATACAACCCCCATATCCTACCTACTTAAGGGGACTAAAGGGCCGGATCTGAACCGCGAGGCCTTGAGGTTTTCTTGGGCGGACTGGAAACCCTAAACCCCTAAACCCTAAACCCCTAAAGCCTAAACCCTAGGTCTGTAAGTCATGCCGCTGAAGCTGCAGGCTGAGCTGACTTGCAGACGTCCACTCCACCCAACCCGAGTGACTTCATGCACCCTGAAGGGACTGTCTGCCATGGCCCGGACCCTTCATCTCTTGAAGACCTTCGAAAAACTCATCGATCGTCAGGGAGCCTGCGCGATGAGGAGTCAACGCTTCAAGACGAGGGATAAGCGACCAGGCTGTTAGGTTCTGCTAGCTCAAGCTGCGGAACCCAATTTCATTTCAACTTAGCGCTCGTTAGAGCGTCTGGACTGCGTGGCAAGCCGTGCTCACGGCAAGATGGGCAGATGGGCGCACCGTCTCCTTCGTCCAGGAGATTGAAGATGACCTGCATGTACAGATTGCATCAACTGTGGTCAAGGTGGCCCTTGAGTCTGGATTTCCAGCTTCATGGCTTAGGCTCCAAAAAAAGGCTGTACAGGGAGGCCTTGTCTCTCGCAAGGCCTCAGGAGGTTATTGTGGTGTGGCAAGGTCTTAAGCCGAAGCTGCCACCCTGGAGACTGAATTTGTGGTGAAGTACGTCGACTAACTGGATGTGATTGGGTCCACCATGGGCAGGCAGGATAGCCAGCCCAGGATGCCACCAAGCAAGAACAAGAAGAGCACTGGCAGCTCCATTAACAACACCATGGGCATCATGAGTTGCACTGGAGTTGAAAGAACCACAACAATTCACATCAATTACATCATCAGAGTAAGAAGTTCACATTGCTCAATCGCAGTCACCAGCGGCATCCGCGCATTATCGACATTTCCCAGCGATCGCGTGGAACTCTTGCGTGGCTGCGTGAGATCAGTTTGCCACGTTGCAACGATGCAGCATGCAAAGATGCGCCTGGCAGTCATCCTCCTTGAAACCCAGAAGCTTCAGTTTCGTCGCGACCTCTTTGGTCTCGAACGCATTCTGGAACCTGCAAATACTCTACCATGTACTGTTTCCTCACATTTGCACAGCAATGGGCCGCTGCAGGACCACACCCAAAACACAAGTGCCCCTTAGGAGGACCCCCCACCCTGTAATAGTGGTATAATAAGAATATAAGAGGACCCTAATAGAATCCCTAGTATCCCTTATAGTCACTATTACAGGGTCCTCCTAAAGGGCCCCACCTAAAACGCCAAGAGAGGCAAGAGGCTCAAAGGCACCGAGGTCCCAGCTCTTCCAGAGTGAGGCTCCCGGAGCCATCCTTCAAATCTTATAATAATAGGAATAACAGGAATAACAGTAATAATAGCAATAACAATAATAATCATAATAGTAGTAATAGTAATAATGGTAGTAATAATACTAATTCGTAGTAATTCGTAATAACAATATTCGTAATATTCGTTATAATAGTAATAGCAAATCCACGTCTAGCCTTTGAATTCGCGGGCATTTGCTATGCACTCACACGTACCGAACAGAAGATGAACCACAAAACGCGGTGCTGCGTTCGGTTTTGCTGCGGAAGGCCATTCCTCGTCCATGATCGTGAAGAGATGCCTGAAGGTCTTCATCAAACGCTTCCTTAGCATACCGGCGAACACAAAACCAGTCTCAGGGGGCTGTATATTGGGGTATTAAAAAAGGTTCTATTGGGATGATATTGGGATAATGGAAAAGAAAATTGGAAACTATACTATGGTAGCTTCCATTTTCTTTTCCATTATCCCACTATAACCCCAATACACTATATTGTAGTTTCCATTATCCCAATACAACCCCAATAGAATATCTTAGGGCCCTAAACCCTAAACCCTATAGGGTTATCTCACAGCAACCTCCAGCTCAGATTTTATGTCTGAGGATACCGCTCATCTTCTTCTTTCTGGGCTAGAAGGGTCTCCTCGTCCTGGTGGCAGACTAGCAGTCACGGTTTAGGGGTTTTGGGTTTAGGGTTTAGGCTTTAGGGTTTAGGCTTTGCGCTTTGTCTGCCCGAAAAATTTCGCATTGTGAGAGCACAGGCAGTAGAGGTTTGCTGCTGATGTTCTTTTACCTTCAATGGTCGCCATGGTGTGATGGACACGGCCCACCTGTTTTGGCATTCTTTCCTTTATGCCAATCTCATCCCAATATGAGCCTTAGTCTAAACTCCTAGTATCCCCCTCAATAAGCCCTATAGTAGTCCGCTATATAATCCCTCTACAACCCCCCTTTAAGGAGTTTAGACCATGGCATATATAATCCTATACATACCCCAATATGTTCTAGTAGTTGGCCCTAGTAGTTTCAATTTTCTTCTCCATTATCCCAAGTCAATCCCAATATTATCCAAACATAACCCTATATATACCCTAAAATACTATAATGGCTTCCATTTTCTTGTCCATTATCCCAAGTCACACAGTCATCCTTTCCGACCACCGGTGGTCCTGTTTGGAGTGGCTAAGGGCGTTTTCCACAATCACGGCTGTCACCTTTGCTGCCCAGTTCTCAAATGCACTGCACGTGGGATTTCCTAAGAATGGGACTCTTGGGACTGGTGGTCTCTACAGTAAGGATTCAAATAGTTTGGGGTCTATACTGGGGTCCCCTATATAGGGAAACTGAAATGTACTGCATGAAGCACCCCAACTCTGGGTTGCTGCTGAGGAAATCAGCTTAAGTTCCTATATTGGGGGAACCCT